TATATTTAGATGACAGAACCCTGCAGCGGAAGTTTCCCAAATCCCTGAGTAACCACACAGATCACACAGAGAAGCACAGCTCTGGAGAGTCACTCACTGGCTGTTGAACAAGAGTGAGAGAGAAATAAACCTTTATGATGTTGACATAACAAAGAGACAATTGAACACTGCCTTGGCTGTCCTTGCCATATATTAATCAAATGGAAAAAATCACCTTGTTTTACATTTAAATGGGACACCCACAAAACAGGTGATTCAGAGCCCCACCCCCACTCCTAGAAATCATATTGCACTTTCTCTACCTCCTTTGCAATAAGCAATAAAACAGGCAAACACACACACACACACACACACACACACACACACACACACAATGTGTCTTAGTCATATCCTCCCCAGCAACCCCCTCTCACTGGTCTTGACTTCTCCAACACATGTCCCTCCAGAGTGGGATGTTGTGAACTCATTCCGCACCAAGATGAATCTTATTCCAGAAAGTCAAAGCAATTTACAAATCAGAAAAGAACTGTGCAACCATTCCAGAAAATGTCAATAGCTTAGTTAATAAAAATTAACATGTATTTCTGCAAAGAGAGAGGGCCTCCTTTGTAGACTGGGGGAAAAGGAAAATCTTGTTAATATGATACTTATAGCAGACATGGTTCTTTTAAACTTTTAAAAAATGATTTAATTGTAATTGTGTGTGTGTCTGTGTGTATGTGTATGTGTGTGTGAGTGTGTGTGTGTGTAATTGTCTGAGAATAAAAAACAGTTTTATGTTTTAAAAGTGAAGGTTTCCACAGAGGCCAGAAGAGGGTGTCAGGTCCTCTGGAGTGGGAGTTACAGGCCGTTAGAGCTGCCTGATGTAGGTGCTGGAAACCAAACTCAGGTGCAAGAACAGCAAGTGCTCTTATCTGATGAGCCATTGATGCAGCCCCCAGGGGACAAGGGGCTGCTCACTGGAATGTTAGAAATACAGAAAGCTGGGATAAGGGACCTATGGATCTATGAACTTGCTCCTGACAGCCCTAACTCTATTCTGCCTCCCCCCCCCCTCCTCCCCCGCCCCCTCCTTCCCCGGGGAGCAGGGAGCCACTGCCTTGATGTTCTCAGTGCCATTTGCCTGAAGAGCTGTGATGTCCTCCAGGTGTGTTTCAGGTGATCTAATTTACACACCTGGGAAGTCAAAGGACTTTCCAACTGACCAGTTAGAACTGATACTAGGCAGCCTCCCTCTGCTTTCCTGTCTGTCATCTCTCTTGGTGGAATGTTGCATCTTACCTTTAAGAAACTGATCTTTAAAATCCTCCCTTAGCCTCACAACTGCTCCAATCTCTTCCTGAATTTTTCTGCTTCTCATTTGCAACTCGAGAAGCAGCTAATCAGAAAATCTTTAGCTGTAAAAACAATAAAAAATAGGTTGTGAGGTACAAGAGAGACAAGCGGAAGGCTTTGGTGGCAGCAACTGAGATCATAAATCATGTGTGGGTCCCTCAGGGCTCAGGAGGCTAAGGTTCCAGGAGTCCAGGAGTGTGAAAGACCTGCTCAAGTGACATAGCAAGACCCTTCTAGACAATTTTTTTAAAAGATGAGAAACAAACTGTTCCTGCACCTGTGAACTCGAGTCTAAGATCTCAGCTCAGCTAGTGATTACAAAGGGCTGCTGAATAAATAGCTCTGCTGGTCACATGGCAAGGCATGTAGGAACATCCACTGCTGGTGAGGGTGGAAAGGCCCTAGACCCCTTCCTTTGGGAAGGTAAGCTGGTGTAATACTTTAGAAGGCAAGTGGGCCTTCCACCTCTAGAATCCACTCTTCAGAAGTGTTGGGATAAAAGCATTTGTTTTTGAGGCAGGCTTTCCCAGTGAGACCAGGCTGGCTCTGAACTTGCAATCTTTTGCTTCTGCCTTTGGTGTGCTTAAATTACAGTGCCATCATGCCCAGGATATATGCTTTTATTTAAACACAGCATCTATCATTAATTCATTTTGTGTGTTTACTTATATGGATGTGCTTCTATGTATGTGTGTATGTAAGATATAAATGGTGTGTGCATTTTACATGTGTGTGTATGGGTATGTATGATCTGTGTGTACAGGTCTGTATGGTGTGTGTGGGAATGCAGACAGTGCAGCACATATAGAGGTCAGAGAACATCCTCCTCTTTGTTTGATGCTGGGTCCATGAGCCAGGGCAGGGCCCATGAGTTTGTGGGATTCCTTTGCCTCTGTCTCCCAGCTACTGCAGAAGCACTATGATTACCGTTGTGTGCTGCTGGGCTTAGTGTCACCTGAATCCCGGAGGTTTAAACTCAGGTCCTTACATTTGTGGCAGACACCTTTCTCACTCAGCCATCTCCTGAGCCCACCATCCTGCTTTTCTGAAACAGAATTTATTTATTTATTTATTTATTTATTTATTCATTCATTCATTCATTATTAATTATGTGATTTGGAGCTCCTAATTCAGCTGGGGAGGCTTGCAAGCTCCAGGGATCTTCTGTCTCTCCCTCCCCAGAGCTAGGATGACAAGCATGTGCCACCACCTTGGCATTTTCCTTGAATCCTGGGACCTGAACCTAGGTCCCCACACTTACAGGGTAAGTGTATTACTGACTGACCCATCTTCCCGGCATGTTATTAATTTGAACTACGGGAGTCAAATGACTCCCGTGTCCTCAGTGTCCCAGGATGCTGGGATGACAGATGTGCACCACTGTGCCCAACCTCCCACACATATTTATTGAGAAAAGCAAACCGCATGTCTCAGCTTAGGCACTGGACTAGCCAGGGAAGATTTGGCATAAAAACCATTGTTTTACCTTCGGGAGAGGTGAGTAATAATTACATAGATAACTGGTGTATTTACAAATATTCTATGGGAAAGGATAAGGTATGCAAAGCAAGGAATGAGGGGCCTGACTCTAAAAGGCTAGTCTGTGCAAAGCTGTCTCCAGCTAGTAGGTTTTTCCCTATGTGTCTCGAAATTTTGAACTTTATTTAGAAATGTCCCATTGAGCCCAATGACAGTTCTTAATATGTGGACTTAAAGAAACAATGTTGAGCTATTTAGAAAGGGTAAGAGGCCAGCAAGATGGCTCAGCTGGTGAAGGTGCTTGCTGCCAAGCATAGTGATCTGAGTTCAAGTCCCAGAACCCAGTGGGAGAAAGAGAAATGACTCCTGCAGGTTGTTCTCTGACCTCTGTATGTGCACACACCCACACACACACACGGGCGCACACACACACACACACACACACACACACACACACACACACACACGGGCTAAATACATGTAATAGAAAAATTTAAAGATTCATGGCAGAGAAGTGAGGTGGTGGTAGATGCCTACAGGTCTTCTCGAAGAGACTTGGAGAAGATTCCAGCTTTTTTCAGCTCTACAAGGTGACCAAATGGCTTCCCCACCTCAGGCCCAGTGCCCCCACCCTGTTCTCCTGACTTCCCCAGGGACAGGTTCACTAAGTGAATTCTCTCTTCATCATAGACACCCAGCTTGGGACCCCAGTTTGGTTCCAGGGCTCTCTGATCACTCTTTTCATGGTATTGAGCAAGAACACTAGACTTAGAGTCAAAATGCTTTTGCTTCATTCTTCTCACGAACCTATGCAATAGGAAGCTGTAGAGTCCCCGTGTGCCTCAGGTTTCTGATCTGTAATGCAAATATGATTTTCCCTCATAGAATTGTTATATAGATAAGAGGAAAAGATGGAATGGAGGTTAAAATTGTAGGCACCCTGAATTTGATGTTGGACAAGTTGGATCTGGTGAGGCATGTCCATAATCCCAATTGGAAGGCTGGGGCAGGAAGCCTGTGTGGGAGTTCAAGGCCAGCTTGGGCTCCAGAGCAAGCAAGACCCTGCGTGAAGTCTCACACAGCACTCTGTGATATGTGCCTGGAACAAAAGCCCCATTAGACTCTGCAGAATAGTTTTTTCTCATTCCAGAAAAGGTAAAATAATAGTGGTTGTCCCTGGGTAATGGGTGCACTTGGGGAGAAGATTGAGACAAACGAATTATTTTGGGTGGTGGAAATATTCTATATTTGATTGTTTGGTGGTCATGTACTATTTGCCAAGACTCAGAATTTTACACCTCAAAAAAGTGGATATTTGACCATACACTGTGGCTTATGATCACTTGAGAGGGAGTGGCAGGAACATTGTCAGAGTTCTAGCCCAACTTGAGCTATGTAGGAGTTCCAGGCCAGCCTCAAATATAGCATAAGATTTTGTCTCAAAAAGACCCTCCCCTCAAAAGAGTGGATATTTCTATGTTTAGTTTACACATTGACCATTTAACCCAAATTTCCAAAAACTGGAGAAAAGAATACCCTACAATACTAAGTGTTACATATATAGCAGGCCCTCCTCATCCAGGGGTTACACATCTGATGATTAAATCTCTTATCCTGTTCTTAAAGAGGTGGCTGGGTGGGGAGGCTGTGGGTTTGCTTCTGCAGGCTTTTTTTTTTTTTCTTTGTCGTTAGCCAATACAGCGCTATTGTATTTACACAGCAGTAAAATTGTGTTGGATACTGTAAATAACCTAAGGATGATTAAAGCCTACAGAATATATGCATATTATAGTACATTCCTTATAAAACTGGAACATTTCCCAGACACTGGGGTCTGTAAGCATCCTGGAAACAATTCCCCAGTATACAGAGGGGCCATGGTTTGGAGCTTTAGTATAGTGCCTAATAACGGATCACCAATAGATAAATGCTATTTGGATTCTGTGCCACGTTTATATAGCAGGGAGAGTGATATTCCACTAAACACATCTTTGTGTGCATCCTAAACTTCTTTTTTAATTGCCGGAGTACCGAGCACTTCTGAAAAGTTCAGTGGTTGTTCTGCTTAAAGAAATAAGGCTCTGCACTAGAAGAAAGACGAGGAAGGCCCAGGGCTGTCAACCCAGAGG